TACTGTATATATATATATATATAAGTATGTGTGTGTTTGTGTGTGTGTGTACTGCATATGTATACTAGAAAGAGAGGAGGGAGGTGAAAAGGAGGAGAAAATAAAAATACTGAGAGTTCCTGTCTGCTTAGAATATACCTGGATGAGTTATGGAGACTTTTTTATATCTATGGAGCTTGTACCATTGATAACACCCTTTCAATGGCCCAACAACATTCAAAGCAGGTATCCAAATCCCTGAACTTTAACATACAAATAATAGCTTTATACATGCTGATATTTTAAGATGGTTGTTGCCTGGTTTCAACCTGTGTTAACAGGGAACTTTAAACTTTAAAGTGTGTTTGTACATAACTAAGCAATACTAATGTGTTTGTATCAAAGATGCTGATTTCACACCTCAGCTAAGCATTTCTACAAGTTCCCAGATGTCAGCTGGTATAGGGCAGTACTGATTTCACATCACACATTTCTTTTCATCTAAAGTGTTGTTGTTCTCAGCTATGAGTTGTAAAGCATGTCTGCCGTCTCACCACCAGCCTGTCTTTGACTGCGGGATAATAATAAGTTTATGTTGCTCTTGGCTCTCCTTTTCTCACTCCTATTCTATTGTTTTTGCTTCTTCTAAGTGTCTTTCTTTGTGTGCGAGTTAGGCCTTATGTTCAGCTGTTTTTGTCCTGTATGCCATGAGTTTGGGTTTCCTTTCCTTTCCTTTTCATGACAACCCTCAGTCTTTTTGTTCAGTTGCATGCAAGGGCATGCCTCATAACATGGAAATATTGTTTCTGTTTCTGTGTCTTACATGTGTGCAATCATGTGTTTGAATTGTGTAGTTGTGACCCCCAAATATTCTGTCTTTGGCACTTGAGCAGCCGATGACTTTATCTTGATGAAATATTCACACTGATGTTTGCAAACACACTTGACCTCTAAAAAATACACAACACAATAAACTTTCACTACACTATTTATGACCGTGTATAGTTGGTATCAGGTAGAGGGAACTAACAGACAAACTCATGCCAGGGTGAGTCTCAGCAAGCTTGAAACTAGCCAAACTAATCACATTGGGACATACTCAGTAAGCTTTGACTGATTGCACAGTGATAATGTAATGTAATGATAACCTGGTGCTCTGAGACAGAAATGTTCCAGTTGCATTGCAGGTTTACCTATAAATGTCTCAAAATCTGATTTGAATCTTTCTGCTTCCTGTTTATGTCAATAAAACTATTTTTTGCCTTACTTTAATTTGATCTATGTATGTTTGAGTTTATTTGTGCAAAATAAAACTTCAAAAAAATTCAAACAAGCGTGTCCTTCACATACACTAACGGAAGCACTTTTTAACAACTTGATTCAGTAATTTAAAGTTAAATATAACAGTGTTTGTAACTCAGATTCTTGATCCTGGGGATAATGGTGCAATAAAGTGTAATAAAGCTTTTCCAAAACATAACAACAGGTAAAACAGATGTTATTGATGAAGGTAGGCTAGTCTCCTGCTTAGGTGCAGTGATTGCATTTTCAAAGCAAGTTCATGAAGACGCATCATTCATGTGATGTTTTCATGTACACATACAGGGGCTTTCTGCATTAAAGGACGGGCTTAATTGCTTTGTGCTATGGACTAAAAGGTGACGCTGAAGGAGGGGCAACCATTCTCACTGCATTATATTCATCATTATTTTATTTCTAAAAAGAAAACTATAGAAAATAAGACAAAATGCAACAAAAGCTAAAGTCATTAGAGGCGGGTATTTTTTTGTCCCAAGTCTTTTGTAAAAAATGCAAACTCTACACACAATTTAAAGTGAAAGCTCAAGACTTACATTCCGAGCAGGACTTTTAAACATCGGCTAGTAATAACCTAGTCCATCCTGAGGAGGTCAGTAGCAGCAGTGAGCTAAACACAATGATTTAGAGCATCTTTAAAACTTCACTTATTTGTCCGATCCGGGAATCCCTCCACCACCTCCTTCATCCTCCCCGCTCCCTCCCTCCCTCCTCCTGCGAGCCACCCCGTCCACCGACAGCGGCGCTTCCCGTGACGCCTCGAACGGAATCAGATTCGGACACATGCGCTCTCACATCAGGTCCCTGCCCCCTGATACACGGCAGCAGTAACGGGGTTACTTTCCGTATACCGTCTAGTTCCAGCACTGATGGGAACCTCGGGGTCTAAGACATATCGGTGTGCATAGCCTTCTTCTCCAGCTGACAATACCATGAAGTTAGACGTCCTTCTTCTCCTCCTCTTGGGTTTTTGCAAGCTGTCCCCCGCGAAGATTGCCGGTGAGAAAACTCTTGATATATGTATATATAAATATAATATTTCTTTAGAAGACATACTCTATGCTCAGTAATGCCTCCACCGATTTGTTCAGTGTTGTGCAACATCCGCTAATAGCTTTGATTAAACTCTGCATAAACTCCGATGACCTTGTCAAACGGGTAAGCACAAACTACTACCAACTACTCACCACTGGTCTTATAAAGCAAAGGATTATGTTTACATTCCTACGTTTCTTTTTTTAAAAGATTCAGTAACTTGGAGAAGGCATGCAGACTTCTAATTGTGTTGACAACAACAAAACAGCAAAAGCTGCCATTTTTTTGGGATGAATTAAGCTTTTTTTTAGTGCAACAAGATAGTCCTTTTAGCAGTGTAACGCAGTGTAACGCAGTAATGCGATGGCCCTAGCTCTGCTTCTCTTGGAGCTGACTGGTCATCAGGCAAACAAGAACACAGGTGTCATATATCAGCATCTCTGCACCTGTCCTTGAAAGTACAGCCAGAGCTTGTGGGATTCAATCATCTGTAATGTGGCTTTTATGTTTGCTTGGTGGATCCTTTATAGCATTTACCCTGTCAGATGATGTCAGACAGATGTGAAGCCAGAGTGGGAAAAAAACCAAAGCAAAAACGCTGCAGGTCAAAGGTGGACACCCTTCCTCCCGGTCCCTCAGCTCACACACATTAGTCCTTGCACATGATGTCCCTTGTGTCTGATATTTTAGATGTCTCTCTCCATCGACATTACAGTTTCTGTTTCTCTGGTGGCTTTATTTCACTGCAGACTGACTGATGGGCTGACTGCCCAGCTTCTGTGCACAGCCATATTAACCATTTATCCTATCTTGTTATCTTGTTATGCAGTGTGTGTTTTTTAGAGGAAGAGTAAATGCTCTACTTTCTATCCCTGCCACTTAAAATCAGGCTGGTGATGGTGAAAAGCAGCGGCAGTAGGAGTTATTATTGTTGATCCATCTTCCCTCTTCTTGTTCCAGCTCCAAATGAGTTTGTGTCCTTGGCGGAGATGGAGGATGCTTTATTGAAGAACCTTTTCCAAGGCTATCAGCGCTGGGTTAGGCCAATCCAGCGTGCCAATGACACTATTAAAGTACGCTTTGGACTCAAGATCTCTCAGCTGGTCGATGTGGTGAGACGACACACACACACACACACAAACAGACTGACATCAGTTTGCAACTCCTGTTAAAAGTGGCTTCCTTAGTTTGAATGAAACTAAGTTTGAATTTTACACAACTTTTAGTCTTTTGGTCTTCCTGTGAGATTTGTTGGCAACATCCAAAGTAAAGAATATTGCAAGCCTTGCCCTTTAACAGCAAACACTAAATGCAAGCATGAACTTGCTTTGAAAATGCAATTATTGAAAAAGTATCAAAACACTGAGTTAGATAAAACACGTGTAACACATATAAAAGAAATATAAAGAGGTTGTTCTGGTTTCATCAGTCCCACTATGTGTGGTGCTGAAATAGAGCTCAAGCTATCTCTTCATATTTGTGACTACACTGTCTCTCTTTGGAGTGTTTGTTTAATATTTCAGAGGCTGGTTGCAATAGGTTGAGATGGTTTAGTTGCTCCGGAGGAGAAAACTGAGCACGCTAATGGAGGAACCATGCTTCTTGGCTTGAAATATTCATCTCAGCCAGTCCATATTTAACTTTTCTTCTCTTCCTTCCAACAAACACAGCCAGAAATGAATTACATAAAGCTGTTTGTGGCAAATAGGAAAGGTTTAGGTTGATCTGTTGGATTCTGGGAAAGAGAAAGGGCGATGGAGCTAAACATAAAAACAGCAGCCTGCCTATGCTGTGTATGTCCCCTGACTCTCTCTAGGCTGCTGCTCAGCTCTGTATTAGATTATGGTTCACCTCTGGTCTATGTGATCACCAAAACATTCAACTGAGTCTGACAGCTGAGGCCTGCGCTGGATATGCTGAACATCTTTGAATATGTCTCGCTCACGTCTGCTAAGGTTGTTGAACTTGTTTTTGTTATCAGCACAGCTTCCTGCACCCACTTTTGGTACTATGTTTTCTTTGTGTTTACTAAGAAAGTGGCAGATAAATCAGATTCTGTCAGATACAGTGGAAAACGAAAAGATGATTTGGTTCACCTCAGCTGGGGGTTTTATATTCACTAAAACAGTAGCAGACAATAAAATATTTGAATGAAATAAGTGATCTTGGATTTCTTTGTAAACTTTGTTTATGAATCATTTAAGCGTGAACCAGTGTTGAGTCTACACTGAACAGGTGCCTTAGCGAAGAACCAATTTTAAAGTGTATCTTTAGGTACTTTGTTACTAGAACTCTGTTACAAAAGCAAGTTTTCATTTCTTTAGTTAAATCTTTTAAAAAATGCCAAAGATATCAAAGTTTATTGGCATAAAATAGTGTTTTTGGACTAATAGAATCATGACATGAGACGGATAAGGCTGAGGTATGCAAATGAATTTGAATTTGAAGAATTTGACTCAAAATCGATGGCGATAGGTTTCATGGAGTGATGAATCCAAATCTGAAATTTCTGGTTGACATTTTTGTCAGTATGTACAGAGGAAGTCAGGAGAGGGGTATAACAATGAGTGCCATGTTTTACAGCCATCTGTAGAACACAGTGGAGGCTCTGTCAGTATTTAAGGCTGAACTTCAGTCTGTGGTTTTGGAATCTTTGTCAAAATGGATGGAACTATGAACCCAGAAAAGTATCATCAGACTTTGATCCACTAACATTTGGGAAGCTTCTGATTGGCAGTGCCTTCATCTTTTAATATGACAATGATCTCAAGCACATTGCCACTGCAGGAAAAGCATACTTGGATAGAAAAACACACAGTGGAACACCATCAGTCATGGACTTTCCTCCCCATAGCTCAAACCTCAACATTACTGAAGCAGTGTGGGGTCATGTAGACAGAGGGCACAACAAAGGGCAGCCAGTATCCAAAGAAGAGCTTTGTACATCCTTCAAGAAGCCTGGAGAACTGCTCCTGAAGAATACTGAATGACAATGAAAATGAGCTTGCAGCTAACACAGCTGAATAATAAAAGTGTCCATGCCAAATGTTGACTTTCAAGCTTTTAGGAATTCTGCAAACTCTGTTTTTGCCTTATTTTATTTCTATGTATGCAATCGCTGCACCTATTTCCCATTTTCCCTGAAAACATGCAAAGACATCAGGGGTGTCTTGAGTCTTTTGCACAGAACTGAACAACCCAACCAAAACCAGCCAAACAAGCAAATATATTTCATTTTCATAGTTGCATTTTAATGTGCAAATCCAACAAATAATAAAACAATGGGTTGCAAAAATGATTTCTTCTTACGTTTTTGGAAAGTATTTTTACATAACATATTTTCCCAATTTTAAATAATTTTTTTTTTTCTATTTTTTATGTTTTTGTCTTTTAGGATGAGAAAAATCAGCTAATGACAACTAATGTTTGGCTGTGGCAGGTAAGACAAAATGAACATAATGTTGTTGGGCAGGACCATGAAAGATTGTACAGAATCATCCAAGAGACCATTTATAAACATTTTCTCATAAATGTTAATCAGTTTATTTTTCATAATGCATTAACAAATAACACATGGTTTGCAGGTAAAATGAGACTGACTTTTTGAATGTAATGTATTTTAAAACTAATTTATAGACCCTTGATTTGCTTAAATAAGCTGTATGTGTGAGCAGTTGGTTTAAATTTAATATTTAGTTGTTATTTGTATAACTGATGATGGGTGACAGAATTCATAAAGGAGTCTGTTATAGAGGGTATACAACAAATACAAGCAAATCACAGTATTATTGAGTGTTGTTTATAAGTCTGCTGATGTGGCTTCCTGCATTTTCCCTTGACCAGGAATGGATTGATTACAAGCTGCGATGGAATCCAGATAAATACGGAGGAATCACCTCCATCAGAGTTCCTTCAGAAAATATCTGGCTCCCAGACATCGTCCTGTATGAGAAGTAAGGCCGCTCTGAAATTTCAGCAATCCAGTGACTGATGATTACGTCATGTGAAACATGAGTCTGTCTGTATGAAAAACACTAACACAACGTGATGCTATCTATCTTAATTGCTTTAAAAAAAAAGCTTTCTTTGAGTGTAACCAGCATGTTGTAATATAAATATTATAAATATTTAATCTTACACCTCATCTAAAAAAATCAGTAACACTGAGCTGTGCTCAGAAAGGCCACTCTGTTCCTTGTACATTCACCCAATCAGCCATACATTTACTTGACCACTTATTAGGTTTGAGCCTGTCTTAGTTGCCATTGGTCAAGTAGCAGGGAGCGATGTGGACACATTTCATAATGCTCTCAAAGAGTCCATAAATTTTCAATTTTCATGTGATTATCAGTTGAACTACAACAGGTGCATAAAAACAATTCATTATCAAAGAGATGGACGATTGCATATAGTAGTATTAATTTAACAGTTTCATGTAAATAGACTTAAGACGAGAATTGACTTGTGTTTCATATTTCTTCAGTGCTGATGGGCGGTTTGAGGGTTCCCTGATGACCAAAGCTATTGTGAAGTACAACGGGGCCATCACCTGGACACCACCTGCCAGTTACAAATCTGCCTGCACCATGGATGTCACTTTTTTCCCTTTTGATCGCCAGAACTGTTCCATGAAGTTTGGGTCCTGGACCTATGATGGCAGCATGGTGGACTTGGTTCTCATGGACAACCAGGTTGATCGGAAAGACTTCTTTGATAACGGGGAGTGGGAGATACTCAGCGCTACTGGTGCCAAAGGAAACAGAAAAGATGGCTTGTTATCCTACCCCTTCATCACATACTCCTTCATCCTGAAGAGGCTGCCTTTGTTCTACACGCTGTTCCTAATCATCCCTTGTTTGGGTTTGTCATTTCTGACCGTCCTGGTCTTTTACCTCCCCTCAGATGAAGGAGAGAAGCTTTCACTCTCTACCTCCGTCCTAGTGTCACTTACTGTGTTCCTGCTGGTCATTGAAGAGATTATTCCCTCCTCCTCCAAGGTCATACCCCTGATCGGAGAGTACCTCCTCTTCATCATGATTTTTGTCACCCTCTCCATCATCGTCACTGTCTTTGTCATCAATGTCCACCACCGCTCCTCAGCCACTTACCACCCAATGTCGCCATGGGTTCGAAACCTCTTTCTTCAAAAACTGCCCAGATTGCTGTGCATGCGAGGGCACACTGACCGCTACCACTACCCAGAGCTGGCTCCCGAAAGCCCTGAGCTGAAGTCTCGCTCTGGAGGTCGGAGAGGCCAGAAGGCAAACAGTGGTTCGCTCGGACCGACTACTTCTGATGGGAAGGACGAAGAAGCCTGGGGTGCTATGTTGGAGAAAGCCATCTATTCGGTGCGCTACATCAGCAGACATATCCGTAAAGAACACTTCATCCGTGAGGTGTGTAAAGTATTTATCAATAAACATTAAATTCTTTTGACAGATTAAGAACTTGATGTTTATATTGCGCATACTCTTTCTGTAATCCCATGTCTTATTTTTGCCTTTTCACAGGTGGTACAAGACTGGAAGTTTGTGGCCCAGGTGTTAGACAGAATCTTCCTTTGGGCTTTCCTCACTGTCTCAGTATTAGGCACCATCCTTATCTTCACTCCAGCTCTGCAGATGTTCATGAAAATCCCCCCTCCAATTCCAAGTGAGGAACAAGCTTCAGAGCCGTTACACTGACGAGGCAACTGATCATCTGCCTTCAAAGAAAACATTTTTTAAACATGGTACCACTGAGCAAGAAGAGCCCACTGCAGGCACCTTTTACAGGATTTTGTTGACTATCTGACTCTTTCTGTTAAACCACTGTGTAAAATATACATGCGAATAAGTCATCAGGTCACTCTGTCTGTTTTGTCAATATCATAACGTTTCATCTGATTATATTGGCATTTTATTCTGGTTTAAGATATATATGACAACCTCAGTAACCAGTAGTCTCACCTGTGTTGAGTTTCAGTTCGCAAATTGCCAAAATAAAAAACAACAACAAAGAAATGCTTCATAAACTCTACACCAAATGGTATTTAGCTATCAAAATACAAGATTAAGGTAAAACCCCATAATTGCCTTATTTTTTATGTTTTTAACCAACATCATATTTAATTTGATATTTTTTTCTTGACATACTTTTTTTTCAAATTCAAAACAAATTTCTACTCTGGGAATTTTAATTAAATAAACATCCATGAGGGCGTTGTCAAAGCTATTATTTAACAGTAGGCTACTTTTTTGTAGTAAACTATAAGAAAAATCATTTCTGCAGAAACCTTTAAACTACCTTAAACAGAGATCCCACCACCTCGCAAAACGTTTGACTTTTGATGTCACACATTAGGGCAAATAAAGTATTAAAGGAAAGATACTTAACTTACTCTTCCCTGTGTTTTTTTTGCATGTGAAAAGGCATGAATAAACCTGAAATAAAAGTAATAAACAGTAAAAGTTAATGTTAGCAATAACTGACTTATTGCTAACATTAACTTAATGATAGCCCTGATTTGGCCCTCAGGCTGTATGTTGAGTATCACCACACCGAAGCTTAAAAATTGTGCTGCTCTGTTTCAGTAGCATTTACTGATTTGTCACTTGTGTCGTCCTCATCAGATAAATTTTTCTCACAGCAGACAAAGAATACATTTAAAGTAACAAAGTGTACTGGATTAATGAAAACAACCCATAAGTTTGTTGTTTTTATTGTTTCGATGTACCTTATCAAACCAATAAAGCTGGTTTAAATACACAAGCCTGTTTAAGATAATGCTGTTTTTAGACTCGCTTACAATTCAGCAAAAAATGTATTTGCTCATCATGTTGTGTGCAAAATTTAAGTCACTGCAGTGTCACAAATGGTATGACTTATCCCCCCCAAACAGGATCATTTTAGCTTTGGCTGAAATCAGTGAAGTAAAATCTGCATCTTGCAGCACCACCTGGTGGTAAATCTCATTTCGTTTGATTCTTCGAATACTGTTGAATACGTTTTAATTAATGGCATAAAATCATTTTATTTCCATTAATAGACAATCCCAAAAGACTAAAGAAGCAAAATGTTCAGTTCAATTTAATTTGATTTTATTGTATGAAATGCTTGCATCATTTTTCTACAATATAATCCAATAAATTTGACACAATTGCTGAAAACAACATTTTCCCCCATGCTGATATAGGAAATAATGGTGACGCTTCGTAACCAATGAGAGGCTTAACTTGAGTAAAAAAGCTGACCAATTAATGAGATTCTAAGACTTTCTGTCCAAATGTTGCGTTCATGTCATAGTGCGTTTGATCGCTAAATCTACAGTTCAGACAGGCTCTGAATGGAGAACATATTCAAAAACATCCCATATCAAGTAAGTCTTTATATACTTTATAACTATATATTTTGTATATATGCTTATGTAAATCGCTTTTTATGAAATGTTTTCCATTTAATTTGTTTTTATTTTGGGCCCCCAGTCGTCTCTTTTCTTTACTACCCATTACGACCGGTGAGGCTGTCCAGGTGGGCGCGTGCATTGCGCAGCATCTCCATATACATCCTGTTGTTTTCGCTGCAAAGTAAAATACATATAATGAATATTGGCTTTAAGTTTGTGTGATCAAAAGTATCATAACTATATTAAAAGGAAGTTACAGTGCTCATTGAAGTTACTTCGGTTTGGGCACGCTGACCGTTAAAACAGTAACCATTGTTGTTTCTTTTGCAAACGTGTTTGATTTAAAGTTACGTAAGTAATGTACTCGATAAACATACATATAAAATGATAATGCGTTACCTCGATAAAGTTGGAAGAGTCTGACTCTGAAACATTCAAATGTAATTTAATAGCGACAAACAGTTACGTCACTCACGTGGCCACAGAGCGGTCGAACATCAGGTTGCTCATGTCCATGTAATACTGCGCATCTGTTCGAATGGCCGTCCAGTACTCATTAGCCTAATGAACAAACAATTACATGAAACGATTCTTAAAGTGACTCACTCTATATGCTTAGAACATTTCACTAACATTTACCTGCTCCTGAACGGTGTAACCCCACTGGTTCTGAGAGTGGTGTGGATCCCAATATCCTGCCTGTCTCTTCAGCCTGATAAATCCCTTTGCCTCCTCTTCCTTCAGGAAAGGGGCAGCAAGACCCCCTAAAAACATTAACATTTACGGATATAATAATACTTGTAGGCGCATGTATTAAATAAGAATTCCTAACAAAACTGACATAAATAGAAGTCATGAGCGAATCCTGGATGTTAAGTAGGTCTAAGTAGAACACTGCATGTTTAAATTTTAAAACTATAATTTTCAAAACTATGTTTCATGACTTTAAATCTACAACACCAGCACATATACTTGCAGTAACAACAGAGGAGAAAACTTACCACTCAAAACAGCCAACAGGATCACAAACTTCATGTCTGTGAAATTATGAGTAAAGAAAATGTTTTAGAAGAAAGAGAGAAATGTGTAGACATCTAACTGCTTGAGCTGTCAGGCGTGAATACTGTAAAGTTTCATTAAAACGAGACAGAAAGGGAGATTTACCTGCAGCGGTGTCATTCGTCTGAATGTGTGAGTGTTTCGGATTCAGCTTAAAATCCATCCTGAAAAGTGAACAACACTTTCCTTCATAGATTTTTTTTTCCTTTAATACCAGAAACCAGAAGGGAATGAAAGAACTCAAGCATCAGGGCAGGCCATCACTCTGAGTCAACATTTACATTTATCTGTTGCCAGCAGACCAAACAGCAGGCCTTCCCCCACAGCAGCCAGGCTGTGAGATTCAGCATAGAGATGTTACCGGCTGTATTTTTAGGCCATGACAGTCACTAAAACGTTTATTCTGTAAGACGTGTTTGGTTTAAATAAATTACAATTAGCGAAGAAAAGATGCTTACAAATGCTTTTTTCTAGACACAACTATTCTTTGCTTTTTGGCTGCATTTTAAAACCCTTAAAAACAAAAGTTATGTTGAACTTTAAAGGTATTATTGCATCAACTTTTTCCACAAAAGATTCTCCACTCATGTTACTTTGAACTCTTATTGCATTATATTGTAATAGATATTTTTTTCTGTTTCAAATGGTATTACTAAATTCCTTATGTTTTATGTTATATAAATAACCATATATTATTGAACGCACGACCTATTTTTATAGTCTTGTAGAAGTAAAGCTTGTGTGTGTATGTCTACATTTCTACCACTAGGTGTAGTCCTATCCACACTGACTTTTGGTTGGAGCGTTCACTCTTTGTGTGACACAAATGGCAAAACAACTGCCATTTTTCCAAAATAATTTTTGTAATCTGTGTCGGTATATTAAGAAAATAAGTATGAGAAAATACACCGTGAAAAAAAACCACACTTATTAAAGAATAAAACAAAACAAACATAAATGTGGCCAGATGTTGATTCATTAAACTATTAACATAAAATCAGGAGTGAAACTGACAAAATGAAGCAGATTAATTAATAAACAAAAACTCCAACTTATGTGATGGATTTAATGAAAGGGAAATATTAACACATAAAGCAGCATTTTCTGAGGGAAGGTAATTTAAAGCTTGCTTTTGAATCAGCTTAGACTTCCGGAACAAAAAAAAATCAAAGCAGGTCCCAGAAGGATTAATTTTCATTTTTACTTGTTGAGGTGCTGCGTTAGGTCTCATCCTTTTAAGTATGAGGAGGAGCCTGCCAGTGAATTTCTTTGTGTGATGTAATATTTAGGCCTACGATCTTGCTCAAACGCTGATGCAGCCACATGAAAATAACTATATAAAAGCTGAACTGAGGGGGACGGTTATCCAAAGAGAAACTATTGAGAATAATTTTAACTATTTATGAACCTAAGACTTTCTAATGATTGTTTCATACACATGTGACATTATACAATTATTTTTCAGCGTAATTGTATAATTTTTTATTTGTTTTTCTTTAACTGTGTAACATTTTCACTCGCCCCCACATAACGCACAAAACCTTTTAGCTCTTTTTGTTGGGTTCGTCTGACACGCTCTGTCTGTCCTTTACCCTTGACACACTGCTGACCTTTTTCTACAGTAAACTACTAAGTGTGTATGAGAGGTCTGACCTTTCTGTCGCATCCCATAATAAACTGTCACCACCTGAACATTTTAACAGAGACAAATGGCAAGCTGGCAGCTAGTGAGACTAAAAAGGACGAGCTGTGTTGAGCGGACCAAGATGATCTTCATCATGTGGGCTAGATATTCACACGTACCTCAAACCAGCACATATTGGAGTGCAGAAAAGATGCATTTTATTTTTTGGGTTGAAAACATTTCAGATATGCACACACTTCTGAAAAGATTATAAATGACACAATGCAGATTCACGAATGCGTGCACACCTCCCACATCAAAGGTAGTGATTTAGATACAAACTAAAGCTCATCTGACCTCATTCTATCATGTACATGCACACATATGCGCCCTGCTGGGACTATGGGGAATATTTCAAATATTTAAGTTAGAGACAGGGCAAAGGACAAGATGGATGTTGAACAAAATATGTTACGATACTGAAAATTTCATGCATACTTTCTCATCATTGAGAGAATATCGAGATAGTGACAAATCTGTGATTATTTTTTCTGACTATCAGCTTTTAGCTGTACTGCGATGTGTGATTGTCAGTAATGATGTGTGCTAAGTTTGTTTCAGGTAGTAGAAAAATACCATAAGGATTTGAAGAGAAGAAAAGACAAAGACGAAACAGGGAAGCAGTACCAGTAACGTCATAACATTAAGTAATTAAACAGAACAGTTTCCATTTATAAAAAAAAAATTGATAATTAACAGCTCCCTGCAGTCTTCACACTCCTTTCTGTGGTTATCATTTTCTCTTGTTCACTTCCTGGACTGGAGACATTTTAAACCTCAGCACTGAAGTTCACAATCAACTCAAAAAGGTGAAACATTAATTAAATAAGAATTGCACAGTGGCATCTTTCATGTTCATTCATATTACATACGTTTGCCAAACAAAAGTGTTGGGAATACATCTGTGCACGTCGTTAGGGTGGAAAATCTGAACGGTCTGTCTGAAAAAGGACTGTAGTATTTGGGTGAAAGAGTCCAGAGTATCATCAGCTGCCAGTTTGCTGGAGGATTGATTTTAAGAACTTTGAGCATAGAGATGTTTTTTGTTTTTGTTTTTTTTAATTGTGTGTTTGTGCAGTTGTAATGTGCACTGTGCATTGTTAAGTGGGGGCAAACAGCTATACAGAGTGTAGGAGGAGGCAAAACAGTGGAAAGAAAAACATAAAGTGAAAAGAAAATACTCCTGGTGCAACAGAGCCACAGAATCACTTTATAAACACAAACACACAGAGACAGTACTGCATGCATAATGATGCACTTAATGTTTACACTCAACAAACACTTTGTTAGATGCACCTTAGTAATGTTTTGGACCCCTTTTACCTTCAGAACTGCCCAAATTCTTTGTTGTACACGTTTCTGGAAATACTTCAGAGATTTTGGTCCATATTGAATTAAGATAAGATAAGATAAGATAAGATAAGATAAGATAAGATAAGATAAGATAACCTTTATTAGTCCCACACGTGGGAAATTTGTTTTGTCACAGCAGGAAGTGGACAGTGCAAAAGTTATGACGCAAAAATTAGAATACAATAAGAATAAATACAGTACACAGCTGTACAGAATAGAATAAAATAAAATAAAATACTATATACAGTAGAATAAAATAGAATAAAAATATACAATGAGATAAAAATAGAATACGAATGCTATATACAACTGAGTAAAAATACAACGATGCCAGAAAAGATTATTGCACTTGATGCAATTGATGGCAATTCGAACAATTGCTGCAGATTTATCAGCTGCACATCAATGATGCAAATCTCCAATTACACCACATCACAAAGGAGCTCTATTGGATTGAGATCTGGTGATTTTGGAAGACATTTGATTACAGTGAACTCGCATTCTTGTTCAAGAAACCAGTTTGAGATGATTCAAGCTTTGTGACATGGTGTGTCACTGTGTGTGATTTGTTTACTTTTACTTCCTTCTCACTCCCTAGATGTTTTTTTTTCTTTTACAGTGAGATTATTTGAAAGGATGAAGTTGGGATCAGAGGTTTCACACAGCCCACTGTGGCTTTCGGGACTACCTATTGAACAGATATGGGATGCTGTACCAAATCAGATCTAACAGCATAAATCTCCTCAGATGGAGCTCCATGTGGGGTAGGAAAAATAACTAATACCAATGGCGCAGGGCTGCTTCTTAGATAATACGCCCCTATTCCATTGAGAGAAGAAGAAGAGAGAAAGAGACAGGGAGCAAAGGCGGCGAGAACATTTGGAGAAATATGCAATGTTCCCCCTCATTGCCTGTTGGATTCTATTTCCGACTGAAATTATTTATGGACTGGAATAAATAGGTCATTTGATTATAAGCCAGTCTGGCACAAAAAGGAGACAAATATGACAAAAATGCAGTTGATGAACCTCTTTGTAAAGCTGGGAAGGGGGAAATTGCAGTGCGACGCGTGGCACTTCAATAAATGATGATCTACAGCTGTGGGAGATGGAGGGTATGCACTGGTGATTTGTACCTGCTACTTGGGTCAGAGTAAGTTTTCCTGTCCGGGACAAACAGTGAGATAAAAAAACAGACAAATGACAAATTTATTTATCTGGTATTTGGATAGCTACTCTTTGACCTTGTGTTTGATTTAAATGTGCACTTAGCAAAAGAAAAAAGATATATGTCAGTCACTGGGCAACTACCAATTTTACGAGTTGCTCAGAAAAGGCTATGCATAGAATCAAGCATGTAATGATTTGACTGATTGGACTGAGCAGATTGGTTTAAATCTTGCAGGATGTTACTTTCAGGCTACAATACTACTCCTGGGCTTAAGTAGCTTGTTTATCTGAGGTAGATAAGAGTATTGATACAACTTTTATTACACTTAATAGTGATATACGGCTACCAACTGATAACCTTATCCTAAGTTCACTAATGAATACATTTATTTAAACTGTCAGAGCACTTATGCCATTTGGAGTTTTACTACATATTCCTTATTTACTTTTAGATCTGTACTTATATAACAGTGCACAAATGGAATCAATCTTCATACCTTACTCTGTGCAAGAAAGATAAGATTTTTTTTCCATGAACATCTAAAAAAAGTCCCTGTTTAATTCTACTGTTTACTGTAATAGACTGCAGTGTATACAGGCGTGACTGGGAGAGCATACACACAGTCCTGTTTCCATCACTTCAGGGGACTTTACATTCAGGGTTTGTTACATCATTGCCTGAGGTCAAACACTAACATTATCACCCCCCGAATGTGAGCAATATAAGTGGGCGGCACGCACACGCACACGCACCTTTATTTGATTAGACTAGTTGAGTTTAAGTAGACACTAATGTAATCTTTAGTCAGTGTCTCGTGAGCATGTTGTAGGATTTAACATTCAAATGTGAGCTAGTTTTCAGGGTTAGCACACAATTACTGGGTTACAAGCATCTCATCAGCCTCATCTGTGCTCATACTCCCGTGACAGAGGCTATTACTTTACTGTATCCTGTTGTGTTACCTGTGATGCGCACTCAGGCTGGGAAGGAGGTGCACTGTGCAGCGTTGTGTGCGTGTGCGTGTGAGGGAGACTGAAGCAGCGTGAACGTGCCAATCTGAACTCCGCACTCCTGTCTGTCAGTCTTTTTTTTTTCTTTTCTTTTTGCAAATCTCTCACGCCGTCCCGGTCCCCTTCGTTTTCCCCAGCCGCATGTTCATTCCACCGCCGAGCCGGATCAGAGTTCTCGTCTAGCCGACACAACCGCTGGAGTTCACTGGACGGTGCCAGCATGCGGTGCCACAAGTTTTGGAAACCGTGTTCGCTTGGATTTTATATTTGGATCGCAATGCTTTTCAGAGGTAGGTTTTGGGGGCAAAGTTGTTCTTCCCCTCCAGTTTATACAGATGATCTAATGAAGGGTACCGACTTGAAAACGATTTTTGTTTTTTTGTTTTTTTTGAGGAGGATGGTAATTTAGACCTGAGTTTACGTCCTCAAACGACTAGTAGGAAATCTTTTCGGCATTTTCGGAAAGTTTTCTAACATTAAAAAACAATCAAAATTGATAGGATAATTTAAAATTGTCTGACATAAACAAACCAGAGTACGTTTAGATAATTTCATATCTGGATATAATGTGGAATTTTTTACTTAAGACCTCACAGTACAGGACTAGGTGACGGTTTTTTGTTTAGTAGTCACCATACACCTGCTGAATAACACTGGCTGCTGAATCTTTCACAGGCTATAGCCTGGGTAGGAAATTCAAAGATTTATAAATCTTTGAATTTCCTACCCAGAATCCAGACTAAAAAACAAGTTAAAAACGCAAAGAGTTATTTTTAAACACTGAGCATATGTATGCATTACTCTCTACATTAATGTTTGCTTCGTTGAATGATGATGATGTGCATGCATGACTCTATAATGCATTGCTAAGCCCCATCCCATCATCAGCATCATCATCTAACATCTGGGTTGGTTACTTAACTCAGTGGTTTTGCTGAATCTGCTTTCCAAAGCACTGCTTTATGCATAGACATATGTCCACCGCGAACCCGAACCTGCCACCTTCCACTTCACCAGTCAGAAGGGAGGCAAGACCAGGAGACAAGGTCAAATCAAGTGATAAGACATTCTAACACATGTCACATATGGCTGTTGGCATGTATTGGTAATAGCACGCTAGTTATCCTTGAACAGGGTTAGCATCTAATGACTTCTCAGAATTGTGTGGTTTACCTCTTTCTTTTTTGTTGTTTTACATGAAGCAAGAGTAAAAACTTAACTGTCTTGGAAGCTTAGTTTTGCTTTATTGACATATGTGGACATGAACCAAAAAATGAAGGGAAGCGCAACAGAATGGATACGGTTTGTTTCACCCATTGATGTTTTGTTTTTTTTACTGTCTTTTAAGTGGCTACCAAAAATCAAGCACAGACACGACTCCACAGCACGCTGTTCAAACAGGGCATCATAACTGATGAAGCAAAAGCGATGAGCCCCATGCCAAGTAAAGGGTATTACCTCTCTCCATGTTAAAGGGGACAGAGGGAAAACAATTAATCCATTAAAGTACTTCAGGGAGTAAACTGGCACATCCAGAAAACATGCTTAGACTCACAGGGGTCCAATATAAAGACTGTAACCTCCCCCAACCACCCACAGACACACACATACACCCACCCACATACACACACACTACTCTGACTACACCAATGGCATCCTACTGAAACAACAGCCTCACTGCATACGTGTGACTCAGAATCAGATGTTTTTATTTAAAATAGCAGGGAAAAAACAAGACAAAGCAAAAAAAGAACAACCTGAACTAGTCTTCTACCAAGTGTTTCTAGTCTTCTAGTGTTTTCAAAATCAAATACTAGTTGACCATAGAGTTGTATTTGTTGCATCCATCCATCCATCCATCCATCCATCCATCCATCCATCCATCCATCCATCCATCCATCCATCCATCCATCCATCCCTTCTATTCTGTTTTGGCAGCAGGGTACACCTTGGATAGGTCACCAATCTATCGCAGGGCTAACACAACCATTCACACTCACATTCACACCTATGGGCAATTTAGAATGATCAATTAACCTTACCTCACTAATTGCATGTCTTTGGATTGTGGGAAGAAGCCTGAGTACCTGGAGAGAACTCATGTAAACATGGGAACAACATGCAAAGTCCACACTCTTAAATTGTTAATGTCTAGAATGGCTAGCTAGGGTGGTAGTGGTGGGAGAAATTTATGTGTGTACCTGTATGTGTGTGCAGAATATTTATAAATGTTAATATTCTATAAAAACTGTTTATATGTTTAGTAAAATAAAAAAAGTAGAGTTTTATACTTAATGAAAAAATATTAATGATTACTTTGGATTAAAAAATAAATTAAGGTTGATTTCAATTGAAAACAGGGATGTAGAGGTTCTTATGGTAGTTTCCTCCACTCTACTGAGTCAAACAAAACAGAGCAGTGACCCGAAAAGACTGATGTTGTAGAGCTCTTTAACGTTTTCTAGTTTTGGTTATCTTTATTTGTAAAGCTCTCCTCAAATTATTTTCCCATCCTTTACCACCCTTGGAAGTCTGTGATTACTCAAACATTTATAACACAGCATGTTGTGCAGAAATAGTTAACAGGTTGTTCTGCTATTAAGTTAAACTCAAATGTTTAAAAGTAAACCTAAAACATTTTTATTTTGCATTAACCATGTAGGTGTTGAAGGATTTTTGTTTCCAAATCTGTAAAAGCATGTGGGTTGTGTTCAGTGTACACGAGATGTGGTGGTCACAGACTCAGTGCAGCACTTCAGAGGTCTTAGCTCCTGGATTAGGATTACAGTGGTGTCAGGAAGCCATAGATTGTAAATCTTTCCTCTATAAATTCATCTATCTAGAGGTCCATTAACAAACTGCATCATACACGATTATGCTCGCTACTGTAGCCAGTCACACAATGCTGGAAATGATGTGTTAATGGATGAGTTCATGGTTCATCAGTTGATTTAAACATCCCACACACAGAATGGTTATAGTATGTGTGCTTGCTCTTTGGAAGCCCAGAACTGCACAGAGAAGTGACAAGCATTACTAGTTAGCAACAGAATATGTGGATGGTTAAATCTATTATATTAATTACAGTTTTCTGTTTTATCGCCATCCTAACGGTCTCCTTTACTTGCATCATTTTTAGCTCTAGGTCATTTCTCTAGTTTCACCCTTTTATTAGGGTTTTTTTTACACTACTTTAAGTCATAGTCTTACTGCCTCACTAAAATATTTTGTGTTTTATTGAAGTTTACAGGTTCAGAGACCCTAATTTAATTCCTTTAAGCATGATCAGGAATATGATGAAATGTAAAGGAATCCAGGATTTTAAAGGCTCTGTGATGGACTGGTTTTCATCCATCTCTTACACCTCCATCTAGCACAAATTATTTTTTCTCCCTGGATTCTTTTTGTACTTCCTGCTTAACTCAAATCAACTAATTTCCCAGAGTCTCATGTTCTTCCAGTCTCCCCAGCTGCATTTTGAATCAGGTTAGGTAATAGGCTAGTGATCTGGGTTCAAATGTAGGTTTAGAGCTGCTGAACATCTGGATGCTTCACTGCTGACCTCCCCTGACTGATATGTTTCCTTGCCAAACGACTGATAGTAAAATAATGAGCTGCTAGACCATGCCAGTGTAGATGTGCCCTCAATTTACATGAATGCACACTTGCCTGGTGTTGGAGGCAGAGCGTAACACACAGTTTATAAGAATCATGCAGATTCTTATAAACAGAATCACACAGAAAAGCACTGTGCAAAAGTCTTGAGCCACCCCTCATTCTTTAATGTGTTGTTAGAAAATGGGAAAGATGTCCGGCGTCTTATTGAAACATGTAGAGTCATATGTGAACAAACTTGAAAGCCAATATTTGGTGTGATTATCTTCATTCTTCAACAGAGTCTGAAAGCTTTAGGTAATTTCTTTAAGTAGTCCTCAGGAATAGTTCTCCAGGCCTCTTCAAAGACATAGAAAAGCTCTTTGGATGTTGGTTTCCTTTTGCTCTGTCCTCTGTCAAGATGATCCCACACTGCTTCATGACATAGTTGGTTAAACGGGTCAGATTCTTGATTGGTTCATATCTGGATCATATCTTCATATCTGGTGGGTGGAAGTTTTTATTTTAATTAGCAGTTTTAGATCTGCCTAAAACCTAAATCAGGGGTTCCTCAAAGCACTACCCTTGGTCCATTACTCTTTACAATTTGCACGATCTCACTTAGTACTGTCATAAGCAATCACAGTATACAGAAATCTGACCACATTAACACAGTATTGAAGTCACTTCACTGACTCCAAGTGCAATATAGAATTACCTTTAAAATCCTTTCAAGGATTAAGCCTATTATATCACAGAGCTCTCAATGGTTAGGTCCCACACTACATCTCTGACTTGCTCACTGTTTATTAACCAGTCAGAACTCTCAGGTCGTCAGACTGAGATGACAGGATTAGTCTCACTATACTGAGGGTGCTTTCAGTTATTGTGTTTCTGTTCTTTGGAAGGAGCTGTCTGCTGACCTGAGATATTATTAAATGTGTGCGTAAATTCAAATACAACCTCTAAACCTTTTTATTCAGACAGCCTTACACTCCATAGGGTTTTTTTTTGTTTGTCTTGTTTTATTTGAATTTGTTATTTTTACTGCTTTATTGTAAACCTACACCATACATGTTTTTATGTTTTTATCTTCTGGGTTAAGCACATTGAATTAGCATATAGTGAAATGTGCCATTCAATACTGTTCAACACTGTTTCATCCCTGGAGTATGTTGCTATTTCTTGTTTCTGTCACTATAGTGTCTGGATTCTATTATCTCTCCACACTGTCACTGTACAGTGTTGGCCACAGTCTACAAAAGAGATTCATATCTATGCTGTTCACCTTTCTATTATTGTTTTATTTAGAGTAAAAAAGAAGATTTGAAGTGCTGTATAAGTACTTTAAAATTGACAAACTGTTAGTTGTAGGAGTTTGTGGTGTAAAACAAGGTGTGTTGTCCTGATCTAATTCTATCTCCTAGAAGCAAACTATAAAGTCTTAAACTTTATTTGTTTGAACCTGTGAAAATCTGTTTCCCCTGCAATGATCTGCATATAGTGCAGCTGTTATTGTTTTGAAAAAATAACTGTGCGAGGTGATAACTTCTTTTTTACTAGTATGTTGACCGTTTTCCTGAAACCTTCCTTACTCATTGTATTTTTGGTCACTTATCTTGGACATCTGAAGTGACATTGGACAATTGTTCTAGGTTGACATCACTGGCCCTAAATCTGAATTATATCCAAACTA